TACAATTCTTGTTATCTGTTCATAAAATTTGATGCTTAATGGAGACTAGAGACGAGATATTTAATAGCATATTTGAAATAAAAAACAATTCTAAATAGATCCCTAAACATGAGCCTTTCAACTGACAAATTCAATATAAACCCAACTGTTGCCTGAGTATTTGGGAACAAAATCAAAAATTGTCATATACTCACAGTTGCATAATAAACAAATGTTAATTGATGTGCTTTGTTTGAAATATTTCCAGGGAGACTTGCAATGAGCAAGGCTCTTCTGTATAGGCAATTCAGCAGCATATGTTGGCACATCTAGGAAAAGTCATCATGTATAAATGCTTTATGCCATCTGGTATATGACCTAAAATATCAAAAAGAAATATGTACAGCTAAAATGAATATGTGACTTTATTCAGAGCACCTTTGACTCATCAGGTAAAGCACTTTGTGTTTAACATTTCATAGTGAGATCTTTAAAATAAAATTTGTTTTTATTCTTAATGATATTTCCATACTCCTAATGTACTCTATAAAGCAGCAAAATAGAATAAACAACACTATTAGTCTCTATTCTCCCAGTACCTATCTCTCTCCTCCTCCACAGATGCCTCTTCTTTTGACATAAATGGAAACTGAGTGTGAAAAAAGGAAATGTGTTTTTGGAAGAATGTAGACCTTTTAAATACTTATCAATAGAATCCCAATGTGACAGATACATTGTTTTACAAGAACAAAAACATTTGCAGAGCTTTTATAACACATCAGGCACTGTGCTAAGCATCTTACATGTATTAACTCATCTAAACCCCATACCTCTCCCACCACCATCTTCACCCATACAGATGGGAGATCTGAATCTAAACAGGATTAAAGTAAATGACTGATGGTGGATACACCTATGAGTGAGTTTAACCCAAAGGCTTGCCATCTCTACTATGCCATGCTCTCTCCAAAATTAAATATAAACAAGGAATTAACATTTATTGAAAAATTATTTGCATGTCAGACACTATGCAAGAAACGACATTCAATTTTTGTGTTTAATCTTTACAGTAACCCTGTAAAAGAGAGTATTATGATCAATCCATTTTAGGAATAAGGAAACATGCTGAGAGAGGTTAAGTAACTTACACAAGATCTCACAATAGTAAATTGGAAAATGCGATATTCCCAACTAGTCCCTTTCTTAATCTATTGCATCAGTCATTCTTACACTTTAATGTGTATATTGGAGTAGGGCATTAGATTCTGTATTTATACCATGCTCCTAGGAGGACATGACAATAATGGTCTAAGGACCATATTTTATTAGCAAGGAGTTGTTCATGCTGTCCTCCTTTGTGAGATTTTATAACTCCTGTAAGCTAGTGGTCTTCTGAGACTACCAATGAGTCACTTATATTTAAATTTTGAGTTTTAAAGAAAAAAATTATCATTTTTTTCCACATACAAATTAAATATTCCCAGCTCTAAGATTACTTAATGATAGGTGGAGAAAAAAAATGAGAGACAGCAAGAGATGGAGACAGGATTTGCTGCAAACTGTACTGCAGTGGCTTAACATCCTATTTCTTTCTCTTATTCTCTCATGTCAAGGGTAGTGTGAGTTAGCTTAAATTATGATATGTTTGTTGCATTTCCCTAATAGTGATGGAAAATTCAGAACTCTGGAGAGGTTGTTCTTTTCTTTTGTATTGCCACTACATTATAATTCTTTGGGGGAATGTCCCCTTGTGCTGACTTAACTTTCTCCCTGATAACATATATTAATGGTGGTTTATACCATCTTGATGCCCAGTACAAAGACAAGCTCCTGCATATGGTTAGAATATCATGAGAGAGATCTATCCTTCAAGAATACCACTTTACAAATTTCAATACTAAATCAGTAAAATTAACATAGGTGATGGAAGGAGAACTGACTCTGGGTGGTGAACACACAATGTTATATATAGATAATGTATTACAGAATTGTATACCTGAAACCTATGTGATTTTACTAACTATTGTCCCCCTAATACATTTTAATTAGAAAAAAAAAAGATGGAGTTTGAGGTAATGTTCATTGTCTGGCTAAAGAGTAGGAAATTCATGAATTTGGAATTAAGAAATGGTCATTAATATTTTGTGTTCATCTACTTCCAAGAAGTATAGACTTCTATTTATGCATAGTTGGCATTTAAGTCACTGAATTGTAACATTAGAATAATGGCTTTAAGAGAAAAAAGTAAGACTCTAAAAAAAGATTACTATGGAAGTATAATCGTGATCCTATTTGATACATTTGCTGATATGAAAGTGACATCACACAATTATTTTCAGCATAGCAGAGGTTGGGTCAGGTCTTCTCTGGGTTGGTGGCTGGTGGAGCTGCTAAGGCTGGAGGACTAGTGCTTTTAGTTCTGGAAGCCCTGAAAGGAACTGACCCCTGCTGAGCACACTGCTAGACAGATCCTTGTTTGTCTTCTAAGTTAACCTCACAAAGTCATGAAAGAAAGTTACATCTCCATGTCACAAGTGAAAAATGAAATGGAACTAAACTAAACACAAAACATAGTCCTGGAGAGGCTAATTCAATTTCCCAGGTTTACATTCTTAACTAGTAAGGAGAAAAGCCAGACCTGGTTTCAGATCTTTCTAACTGCAAAGCCCATGTTATTTCCTGGCTACTCTCTACAGGAAGACAAACAAACAAACAACCAAAACCCTTTATACATCAGGCAACGATGCATTTGACCAAAATCTGAAACTACATTTTCCTGAGTTGAATGCCTTGGACATCAATGGGGTTGAAAATTTCTTGGCATTACCTGGGCTTTTAACCAGGGAACCATCATGAAAGGTGGGAATGCTTTCATTTTACTTCTTGAGAGAGAGCTGCCTTCTGGATCTACAACCTGTCCAGCTTGGGAGGGAAGAAAGCAAAGGGGGAACCAAATGAGACATGAGGAAAATAGCATCAAGATTCTATAATGCAGGGAAATGCTATGCTGGAAACAATGTATTTCATCTGAAGTTGTGTCATGAGAAGACATTATTTTTGTTGGTCCATTCGTTTACTCACACAATTATTCATTCATCACTGTTTTAGTAATAGAAGAGCTCGGACTAATATGTTTGTGTACTGCTATATGTTGTTATTGATTTTGAAGTAGTTTTTCTGATGAAAAACTCAGCCATGGAAGCTAAGCAGAATAAACAACCCAGGTACTGTGATTACCATTTTACAGATGAACCTGCAGACTTTGAGAAGTTAAATAGTGTCCTCAAAGTCACAACAGCTGCGAGGTGTCCTAGACACAGTTCAATTTGTTGTTTCAAATTGAATGTCGTTTCCGTGATTTCCAAGGAGTTAATAAGCAAGACAGATACCTGGGGATACTATAAACATAATTGTATACTGATTCCAACATCCAGAGATAATGAAATCAAAGATATTTTAAGAATATATATATTTCAATGAGGAATCAAGTTCTTTTTCCAAAACAGTAAAATTTGGGTTCTCTTTATAAATTTATGAAATTTATAAATTTCAATATTAATTTTCTAGCATTTTGAGCCTATTTTGAGTCTTCATTTCATTTTTTGCTGTTTACCTACTTGCATGATTTTCACCTTATTCTTTTTATTTATTTTATTTTATTTTTGCATGGTATTCCTCCCCATCCTCTATGGCTTTCACAGTAACCATCCTCACTTAACCTGCCTTTTGCTACTTGCCTCATTGCTTTAACACTTTATTTGGTTTCAGTCTCTACCATGAGATTATTCTCATTATTTTCCACTATAACTTTGTCTAAATAATATAATGGTCAATCTTTATACAGTAATTTCACTGAGCCAAGCCTGATCTTGGAATCCTAAAGAAGTTAACTTAGATAGTCATATGCAGAACAACATATTCCACTCCTTGTTTTACTTTAGGATCGATAGGCATATAAAATGAATCCTGAGTGACTGATAATGAGTTGTGTGGAGATGGATTATATTGAACAAAAAAATGTAAAAGCTTAAATGAAAGCAGGCAGCATCCAATTTATTTATGACAGAAAATTCCTAATATAAACCTATTGTGGATATTTTAAAAAGTATAACATGTGACATTTTGAAACTTACATCTTCATTTATTATTACTGATTCCAGCCAAGGAAAATATGCCTTCAGTCATTTCAAAAGAAGATGTAATTAAAAATCAGTTATGGACATTATTGAACATAAAAAGGAAAATACAGAAAATAGTGCTTTCCTGAGTAAAGATTGCATAAATATTGTGGTATTTTTGTGTTTTATTTATTTATTTATTTATTTTGTTTTTTGTTTTTTTTAGCTGAGCCATCCTGCTACCTGTTGGCAGCTCAGCGGCTGCTCAGCTCGGGCTGGACTCGAACCGCTGTTGCTCAGAGCTCAAACTCTTGAGTGAGCTCTTAACCAACTGAGCCACTCAGCCAGCCCCTATTTATTTTTTGATATTAGAACATATTCAATTTAATCTAAGTTTAAATCTAAATCCTAGAGCATTTTCAATGTAAGCTAAATACAAAGTCTTTTTTGTTTTTAACTTAACACAAATTTTGTTCTGTAGAAATTTTCTGTTGACTTCAAGAGAGTTTAGAGTATGCAGAGCAATGAAATACTTATTTAGTAGAGCATTTACATTTCTTCAACTGCTTGCTTAATTTCTTATTAAATAAATATTATAAATGCTTATGGAATACTTGTGGGGGAAGTGTACAAATTTAAAAGAGATATGATGTCATGTAATTTTCAATATTTTAATTTCAAAATTTCATCTTGCTAATTGCTTATTTCTTTGAAAATTTTTAAGCTTTTAAAAATCTTTTAAAAACCTACTTCTTTTCTTATAAAGATTGTTTTCATTTGACAGGAAGAATGCAACATTAGTCAAAGAAAACAAACATGCATTTTATTTTTTATTTAATAATACATCAACTTCCCTTACATTTAATTCTATTTAACTAGTTTCTTTTTCTTTCCTTTCAACAGGCTGAGTTAAATGACCCAACGGATCCTTTTACTAGTTACAGTACAAAAGTTTCATCAAATGTAGGGGATGAAGTTTTCTCCAAATATATAGGATGGAGAATTTCCAGTACACTTTCCAAATTATTCTTCCCCTCTACTGATACCCGTACCCTTCCTTTGAAAAAACCATTGATAAAACAGGGTCAAATGAAATATCTGAATAAAAAGCAGGATTCTATGAAGAAGAGAGTGCTACATTTTACTGCAAGGTAAGGTAAAGCATTATTCAAAATTGTCCTATTATTCTAACACATTACATTTTAAAGTCATAGAAATTATATATAATCATGTCACATTATTTAACTCAGTTTCTCTTTTTTAATTCAAATCTTTGCTCCTCCACCTCCTAGATATTCTATCGTGAGTAAGTACTCCCTTCTCAAAACTGTTTCCTCACATCTAACATAGGTATTATTATATAATATAAATAAATGTTTCAATAGTCTAAAAGCCTCCCTCTTATTACTGACCTTCATTTGCCTATTTATCCCCATCTCTCCCTATCATTAATTGCTTGTGAATCTTTCCAGAATCTATAAAATGTGAATTTAAGAAATTTTGAGTGCATTTTAAATTTTTTTCTCCATACTTACTTGAAAGCATACTAAACATATCTGCTGCATTTTTCACTTAACATCATTTCTTAGAGATATTTCTATGCCAGTATAGATAATTTTCTCATTATTATTATTTTTTAATCAATTATCATGTTTTCCTTAGTAAGGATGTACTATCATTTATTTAACCAGTTTCCTATTGGTTGGCATTTAGTTGGTAAAAAGTAACCTTTTTAGTGTGTAGTGTGAGGTGCTCTTTAGAGGGGTACTCACCTGTCCCAACAATATTTATTCCCCTTCAACATTTTAAAAAAATTTAAATGCTCTCTTTATTAAAAACTAAATTCCCATTTATTTTATTTTTCTATGTTCTAAAATAATTTTAGTACTTTGGAATTATCTATTCTTTCAAACTTTGGTAGGATTCCCTCTTAAACCATCAGCACCTTATGCCTCTTCTAAGAGTAGCTATTTGTCAAATTTTTCTATTTTATTGGGTTGTCAGAAAAGTCATGATGCATTTTTGCAATGAAAAACAAACAAAAAATACATCATGACTTTTCCGACAATCCAATATATAGCTATTGGAAAGGCTGGATTCAGTTCTTATTATTTGAGGCCCCTGCTATAAAATTATCTGGAGTATCAAGCCTGACTATCAGTTCCTTTAGAACTTTCTCTTTCTTCCTATGTCAATTTTAGCAAATTATGCTTTCTTTAAATATTATTAACTTCATCCCATTTTCAGAATTTACTTGGCCATGACTGAACAAAATAGTGTCTTAAGATTCCTTTCATTCTCTCTGTTTTCTGTGGTTATTCTCCTTTTAGCCAATTCTTATTTTGTATATTTGCATTTTGTCTCATATTCTCCTTCATTAGTTTATTTAGTGTTTTGTCTATGTTATATATATTTTTAATGAACCAGACTTTGGATTCTAACTCATGTATTTTTGTTCTTATGTTTATGTATCTGTTACTACTTCTATGCTTTGATCTAGTATGTGGTTCATTTTTTTAAATTTCTTAAAGAAGATGCTGAGTCATTTGGGAAATATTTTTCCTCAGTATTTGTCTAAATCATTACTTGAGTTCCAAAATCATGGGACTCTTGCTGTCCAAAGCAGACTTTATTGTAGGCATAATAATTGGGTGTAATAAGACTGGTAGGTAGGCTTTCCTTTTGTGCACAATCAACAGAAAAATACATACATGCTTAAGAAGAGTTTTGACATAGGTGTAAGCATTTTTAAAAGAATTCTAATATCAATGAGGGCAATATGTAAATATAGGATTAAGTATCACACAGCTTGTACGTTAGTAGTCTCAGGTATATACATAAAAATTTAAAAATAGCTGTCAGCATATATTATAAATATTTATAAAATTGCGATATGATCAAGGTACAATGAAAATGATTTAAATAGGTATTAAGATTTATTTTAGAATTCCCAAATGTCTTCTGTATATTCTAAAAGACAACAGACATGGAAAAAACCCCAAAAACAATCTTGGACCACAAGGAGAGGAACAAGTATATTTTGGTTTCTCATTGTAGTCAGTTAAAGGAAGAGATAGTAAGAATGAAACTAGAAAAAAAGAATAAATTGGATATTGACAAAAGTAGATTAAAGAAATAGCAAGAGAAAGGGTAAGTAGATGGTAAAAAGGCAGCTAGAGATGGATGGTGCCTGCTGAAAGAAAGACAGAGAGAAAAGGAGACATACTGGTAATATTTAAAATAGCAGAATGGAGAAATAAAAGTTATAAACAGAAAGAAAGATGAAAGAGACCAAAACGAAAGGGAGAAGAAATAAATAAGGGGAGAGACATATGAGAATGAAAGGTACAAATGGAGAGATAGACACGGGAGAGGAGAAGAGAATATGTAAAACAGAGGAGAAACAGGGTGGAGTTAAGACTCAAAAAGTCCTATAGGCTTTGAAAGATTAATAAATTAAGCTTTTCATCAGAGCCTATATAGTTCACTACATAAAGAACAGCCATTCATCACTGATCTTTGAGTAAATGTTATCTCCTTATCCATTTTCTCACAGCTCATTCTAGGTCCTAGCAATTAAACTTAGAGTCCCTGGCTGGAATGAGAGAGCCACAGTGGCACAGCAGCTTGGGCATCCCTCTAGCAGAAGCACCTCAGTGCAGCACAGCCCCTGAGGTGACTTTCACATTGCACTCTTCATGTTCTAGTGCGTGTGAACAGAGTTCCCTGGAGTTGTGCATATTTTCAGCTCCAGTTTGCAGTGAACTAATCACTGGGTACAACTGAGGTGAGTAGAGTAGGGCTGGAGCTCAATGACATCAAGACAATGGCTAGGTTGAGCCTGGATGAGCAGTCTTTATTGTCTATAAAGGATATAAGATAGATATACCTGCTTTTAAAACAGTTGTTGAAAAGCAAATTTAAATCTAAGCTATGCATGGAAAAATGTCACTGGCTCACTAAACATTAACTGGAGGAAATTTTAATTTTTCCATTTGTTTGATTCTCCATCTATTCAACAGTCCCGTTGCCAGCTCCTTTTGTTAGTTCTCCACCTCCACCCACTTCCAGGTCCATGAACTGGAATTAATACAATTAATGAACATCTGAGCATGTTGAAGTCCCATAGGTAAAGCACAAAGACATGATTTAAAGCCCATTGTATGCTCAATTCTTTCTCACCTCCTAAAGATCGTCATGCATAGGGTCATAACACTAATCCCTCATCAAATATTCCTAGAAATCTCCATTTTTGTGTTTTCAGCACATAGCAATGTGAAAGACAGCAAGAAAGCCAATATATAAGGACTGCTATAAAAGAGATGACACATTTAAGAGGTAGGAGGGCAGAAAATTTAAGATATGTTTCTTTTTTTCCTTGGGACACTAAAGCATACTTATTTTAGTGTGAAGACCTGAAAATTTACTAGTAAGGAGAAAATGGGAGCTTCCTTTTTTTAGGGGTGGGGGAGGCTTTCTTATTGATGACACATCTGCTATATCTCATGACCTATAATTTTTTCCAAAAACATTTTTCCTCACTTGTGTGTCTGCCCTATAAAATTCCTTGAAAGCAGGAATTCTGTCTTTTATATGTTTATAAACATATATTTTGCTTTGAATGACTTGAAGATTTGACTTCTTTCCTTTATACAATTTTTCAAAAGAAAATTTATTATTTTGTTTCTATATATTGATTTTTTTTTTTTGGTTTTGCTTTAAGTTAGTGGAACATGCTATTGGATGCATGCTCCTTTTGCCCCTCAGCAGTTTTTAAAAAATGAAAAAATCATTATGGTTCTTTACTGTATCATAAAAGCTGCAGCCAAAAAACCAGGCACTTAATACTTCTACTTCAAACCATAGTATTTTCCTTTTCTCTCTCTGTCAGTAAAACCATCTTAAATTTACCTTAAGGCAGACAATTCAGAACTCTGAAGACCAGATTTTCAAAAAAACCAGTTTCCACATCTAACTTTTTGGCTGTGTAGATTCTGAGGTCTCTTGTAAGTGTATTTTCTAAGTTTATGCCTTGAATTTCTACAAAAAAAAATCACAACTAATTATTTGCATATATGTAAAGACTAGGAGAATATTAACTTAAAAGTTACCTCGGGATCATACTTAGTCTGCTCCAAGTTTTATGTTAGAAGACTTTATTTATAAGACCAGCACCTGGAAGAGATTCCAGGTGAAACTAGCAAGAATAGACTGAGATCATTTGTCATTTAGGCAGGAAATTTTACACTGCTGACTTGATAAACAGGGTGGTCATACCTAAGGTTACGGGGTGTCCTCTGCAGGTTCCTTTATAAACGGAGCTATCTCCCAAGCAGTAGAACCAGAAGTAGCTAACTTTACTGAATGGTGAAAAGGTGGGGAAAAGTAAATACAACAATGTCCCATGAGAGAGGTCAAAAAGCAGGTTTTATTGGAGAGAGCAATAGTCAGCAAAAAGAGGCACATGGTCCCCATTTCTTGTCATCTCATTGAGAGGTGTGCTGGAGACAAGGAAGCAATTGGACATTCACTGGGTTTGCATCTTGAGGGAAGAGTCGCCCCCTGCCTGCTACCATGTGTAATGTAATGTAAGTGTGAAAGCAGCCTTCTTAAGGATGAAATAATGTATGAAAATGACCTTCTTAAGGAAGAAATAAACATTTTTGGAAGAAATAAACATTTTGGGCTCAGTTGCCAACCCTTCAGAAGGTGGGCATCAGATGGATAGGGGATGCTAGAAATGCCAGCTGCCCAAAATGCCAGGAGCTCTTGGGAAATGCGCTTAGAAGGAGGCCATTGGGCTCCTTGGCCAGTTGGGTTTGGGAGAAACTCCACCAAATGGGAGGCTCTTAGTTGCCAGGCAATTCAAGATGAGTCTCTGATATCATAGCTGATCAATTCTGTTTGCCATCACATATGAGTACATTTTATAAACAAGGTACTGTACTAAGCACTACCCTTAGAGGTAGATATGATTATTTTATCCATATTATAGAATTTATATGTCTGTAAAAATCTCCATTTTATAGATGTGGATATGGAGAGGTTAAGTAATTTGCTCAAGGAGCCGCCACTGTAAGTGCAGGAACGTAAACAAATGCATTCTGACTCCCTACTCTGCCATGCTGTTCTTTTTCTCCCTCATGTGAAC